CCCACACCCGCGCCGGCCGGGGTCGCCGCTTCCCGGGGCGCGGCGCACGCCCTCTCTGCTGGGGTCCGGGCTGGCCGGGTCGCGTTCTCATCAGGGTACTTTAGAAAAGCACTTTTGGTGATGAGTATGTTCAGAGTTAGGGAGAAAGGTTTAAACCTGGACTTGGGATCCACCGAAAGGTGAAACCGAGAATGCGAGGAAAGGTAGATTTTCGAAGTAGCAGGAGATCTTAGGAGCTGTGCTAGATTAATACGGTAAAATAATTGGCCTTTTTTTTTAACCTTCCAGAGGTGTCTGTATAACTGATGCCTTCCTAAGTTTTCCAGTTTTTGCTTATACCAAACTGAACTTTGCGGTAAAGTTGATGTTAATCTTTGAAATTATTATTCTCTTTCTATAGACTACTATGTCTCCTTCAGTGTAAGCACCTTAGGAAACAGGGAAGGCTGCCTTATTTTCTAAGAAGGTTACCTATTATAATAGTGGAATTCACTGTCACTTTTTTAAGAGGTGAAAAGTACAGACCATTTGGGAGAACATTGTGTGTCCTAGTCCCCTCAAAGGACATATACTACCAGTGAGATCTAATTAAACAACACTGAATGGCTTTAGCAGGCGTTTAAAAGGAAGAAGTGTTACAAAAAAGGAAAACACAAGCTGGTAGAAAGAGGAAGGAAATCGTCTATTTCCACCTGGCTGTTCTGATGCTAATCAGAGACTTGCTCCGGTTGTATAAATTGCTCCTGTTGTGTTATATTTAAGTATTCGAGGTAGCTGCCACCCCCGCCTTTAGTCTGGTATTGTATGAGTGATTTCACAAATCTGGCTATTTGAAAGCGAAGTAGTGAAAAAGGGACCCAGTGGGCCTGGGGCCTTCACCCTGATTTACCATTTAATGGAGATGGTACAGGAGGCCGTGGTGTTTGATAAATAATGTTAGTACTTTTACATCTGAATATATTTTAACTTCCTGATTTCTTCTCTTTAGAGTAACACATTTGGAGCTGCTTTTGCGATGGGTGATTCACCCTGGAAGTAATGTGGACTGAAGTTCTAAGAGTTGTGTATCTGAGCAGCTGGACCCAGTATTGTGTCTTATGTTCACTTACATCAGAACTTGCATGAGAAAGAGAATGGGAGTCTGGTTAGATAAAAATGACTATGTCAGAGACCTAAGAAGGGTCAGTCTCTGTCTTCTGATAGTGTATATGGCCGTTTTAGTGGGCACAGACCAGGATTTTTACAGTTTACTGGGAGTATCCAAAACTGCAAGCAGTAGAGAAATAAGACAAGCTTTTAAGAAACTAGCATTGAAGTTACATCCTGATAAAAACCCGGTAGGTAAATTTTTTTTTTAAAGATATGTGATTATTATATTTTAGTACATTTAGATATTTAAATTATTTTAAATAAGGGTTCAGAATGCTTACAGGTAGTCACATGTAAAAATCCTAGTTCAACTGGTATTCTAAAAACAAAAGAAACAAAATGTTCTATTTGCTGTAGTGTAGAGGAATGTCAGTACCAAATCTGCAGTTGCCTCTTAATTTGTAAACTCATCTCCCACAGATTTTTTTTTTAAAGATACTAATCTCAAAACCATAGAAAAGTAGATTGAGATCAAGTACTTTAGAAAAGTAACAAAAAGTATTTCCTTAGACTTCACAAGGTACATCTTGCTAAAAAGGATAGTAATAGCTAATAATAGCATGCTTTAACTGTCACGGTTTTACAAAGCACATGTCTGCAGAGCAGGGTTACTAAGGTTTTTGGTTTGGGTCGCCTTAGGTGGGGTTTTGTTGTTGTTACTGTTGGGAGTTTTCTCAGGGTTTTTTGGTTTTGGTACTAGGTATTCAATCTAGGACCCTATTAGGCAAGTGCTCTGCCACTGAGCTGTATCCCCAACTCCAGAAAGTTCTGTGAGTTAAAACTTGAGAGCACCCCAATATACTTTCAATTTAAAATACTTACTTGTGTAGCTGGTAATCTTTAGAAACTAAATTTTTTAAAATTTAATGGTTTTTATCTAATTAACAATGCAATTTTACTGTGATATTAAAAAGGACATGGTTAAGTTACAGATTTTCTAGGAAGAATTTTTAAAATAGGATTGTTTTGTTCCAGTTATATAAAACTGAGCGATTAAAATAATATTTCCTTAAAACTCAGAGGCACACACCTGTAATCCCTACATTTGGGGAAGCTGAGGCAGGAGTATGGCAAGTTGGAGCCCAGCCTAGGGCAACTTCCTGACTTAGTGAAGCTGTGTCTCAAAAAATAAAGAAATAAGGGTCTCAGTGCAGAGGTCCTGGACTCTGGCTTAAGTACCACAAAAATAAGGAAACCCCTCCCCCACACACACACACAAAAACACTCCAGTTACTGAGTTATTCTTCCCTCAGATCTGTATTCTATTTAGAATTTTTAATTTTTTCTTTTAGAATTTTAGATCCCATGTAAAAGATGGTAAGCCTGTATCTAAGAAATATTTAAATAAAAGCATCCTTGGAAAACCAGTCTATAAAGCAATAATAAAGAAACGTTTCTAAATGTTTTGAATTATTACCCAGTTTTGAATTATTATCCGGATACTTAATTATCTGATGAATACCATACTTTTTTTAGTTAACTCATTGATTTCGTTTGAAAATAACCTACAAGTCTGTTCATATCAGAAGTAGCAAATATTTTTAAAATTAAGAGTTTTCAGAGTCTCAGCTGCATTTTTTTAAAGAGTGACAAGTCATATGAGCATGTTTGACAACCTTTTGAAGAGTAGATTCTTAATTTCTATTCCTTTTTTTAAAATAATAGTCCCTTAGAAAATTTTTCTGTATTTCATGCCAAGATAATTCATATCACATTGTACTACTCCTGCTTATGTTGGTGTCTGATAACCACCATATCTGTAAAATCACCTATATGCTATACAAAGGTTCTGAAGCTATTTGGATTGTGTGTTTAAAATAACTGTTCAATGTTTTTTCACAGAATAACCCAAATGCACATGGTGATTTCCTAAAAATAAATAGGGCATATGAAGTACTCAAAGATGAAGATCTACGGAAAAAGTACGATAAATATGGAGAGAAGGGGCTTGAAGATAACCAAGGAGGCCAGTATGAAAGCTGGAACTACTATCGTTATGATTTTGGTAAGATGCCTTGTTGTTTGTGAAGTAAAAGAAAAGTTAACGTGTCACCTTGGTTAGCTCTTTTTAATTTGTCATGGGAATGGAATTCAAAGGGAAGTCAGTTGGTTTACAGAGATTAATTGTACAGAAATGAATATACTGGTTAAAATCTTAATATTTTTAAAATAAGAGTTTCTACTTAATAAAAGTATACGTTTGCATAAGAAAAAGTTAAATACTGAAGCCTTTCAAACTTTTAACTTTGAATTTCCCAGAAAAGGCTAAATTTTAAATTGAATGGCCGCTGCTTCAGTGGAAATGCTGTCCTGCTCGTGTAGCTGACAGGAATAAGAAGTAAGGCAGGAGAAAGGGAGGGACCAAGGTAAAGGAGCCAAAGTAAACTGGGTTATCAGTGCAGAGGGGCGTGTTCAGATATCCAGCATTTCCCATAATCATTAGCCTCAAATGCAGGCTAAGAAGGCTTTTGTTCGAGACTAAATAAAATATTTTATATTTCTTACTAGAGAAAGTACTTCTCAAAACTAAAAGTTTTTATTGGAATACAGTTGTGTTCATTTTTTTGCATATTGTCTGTGGCTTCTTTGTCAATTTAAGTGTTGAGTATTTATGACAAAAACCATACATCCCACAGAGCCCAAAGCATTAATGCTCCTGCAGAAAGTTTCCTGACCCTTGGTCTATATCCAAGGGATTGTTTTCAGGTTACATGGGAGTTTTTTTTGTTTTTGTTTTTGAAGAGAGTAGTAAATGAGATGCAAACAAACAAAAAATAGAACAGTAGCAGCATACCAGTATCCACAAACATATACAAACCAAAACAAGAACATTTAAAGTAATACAGGACAATGGTTGTTGTTATATTACATATCACTATCCTTAACTACATTGCTCAGATTACCAGATGTAAGAATGGAAGATTGTTCAAACCATTAAAGAGAGTAAGAGAATAATGATTAGATAAAACATTAGAAATAATACAGAGTTTCACTAGACAAGATGGTAGGAATTCACCATGGTAATACCATTGCATATTGTTATCTTCAAATCAGCTGCCCAGATTACCAGACACAAGCATGCAAAATTGATCAGAACATAAAAAATTTTAAGCATTAACTATTCCTTTCAATATACCATCAGACATCAGCAATACAGTTATCACAGCTATTCATATATACATTTATATTTTGCCTTCCTTCTTTCTTTTTTCTTCTTTCCCTCATCCCAGTCGTTCCTTCCTTTGAGCAATTGCTTTCCCTGTTCTATCATCTATTGTATGTTTTGAGTTCTACTTATTCTTTAAGGTTTCTACACCAAGGAGACAATATGATGTTTACACATGTGGGTCCAATTTATTTCACTTATAAGTATGGTCTCTAGTTGCATCCATTTACCCACAAAAGCCTCGAGTTTACCTTTTTTAATAGCTGAGTAATACTCCATTGTATAAAAATACCACAACTTTTTTATACTTTCCTCAGTGGATGGGCATCTGGGCTGTTTCCAAGATTTAGCTGTGATAAGTTGTGCTGCTGAGTGCACTATATCACTGTAGTATGATGTCTTTAATTCTTCTGGGAAAATACCCAGAAGGGGAATAGCTGCGTTAAATGGGACTTCCAATTCTAGTTTTGTGAGGAATCTCCAGACATTTCCACAGTGGTTTCACCAGTCTACACTCCCACCAGCAGTAGAGTAGGGTTCCTTTCTCCCCACAGACTCTCCAGCATTGGTTGATTTCTTGATGATAGCCAGTCATTCTGGGGTAAGATGGAATCTCAGTGTTGTTTTAATTTGCATTTCTCGAATGACTAGTGATGTTGAACATTTTTTCATGTATTTATTCACCATTAGTAGTATGTGCCACTGCTAAAAAACTTACAACAGAGGCAGATAATTAGTTACCATAGTTACAGTTTTAGTTATCATAGTTAAAATTAATTAAAATCAATGTGAGAAAATTTCTTATTACTACATAAAATGTTCAAATAATATGCACACTCCATTTCTTGGTTTTGGTATAATATTACAAATAGCTAACATGTCACTACTAAGGGACACTGGGTAAAGGGTACATGAGAGTCTGTACTATTTTTGCAACTTCCAGTGAGTCTATAATTACTTTTAAATAAAAAGTTTAAAAATATAGAAAGCTTTTGTGGAGATGCAAGTATGTGACTATTAGGAACTCACCCACTATGTTACCAGTAGCAGGCCATGTCAGGAAATAAGTATCTTTAGATCACTGCTTAAATGTATCACTGTGCTCCCTTGGGCAGCACATATCCTAAAATTGGAACAGTGCAGAGATTAGCATGGCCATTGGGCAAGGTGACACACAAATTCATGAAGCATTCTATTTTTTTATTGCCCGGCATGGTAGCACCTACCTATAATCCCGGCACTCAGGAGACTGAGGCAGGAGGATCGCCATGAGTTCCAGGCCTGCCTAGGCTACAGAGTGAGTCCAAAGCTAGCCTGAACTATACAGCGAGCTCCTGTGTCAAAAGACAAAACCAAAAAAAAAATCATCAAGAGTATTACTGTTGTTTTTTCTCTCAGTTCATTGCATATTATTTAGGTTTGAGAATTAATATGGTAACTTTTTGATTGTTAAGAGTAAATAATCTTTTTATATGGTAGGTCATTGTATGGAATTTTTAATAATTTTTTATGTATTTTTTAAATTAGGTATTTATGATGATGATCCTGAAATCATAACACTGGAAAGAAGAGAATTTGGTAAGTTTGTGAGCATGTTGATTTTCTAAAACTAGTGCAAGTTCAATCTGTTATCTGATACTCTTAGATCCAAATATGTTCCAAAGTTAAAAATTTTGAGGAATTTAGAAAAGAACGTGCTATATATTAAACAATGTTCCTAGTTACTAATAAAAACACTACTGTTTCTGCAGAAAATATATAAGTGTGCATACTAGTTAAAAGAAGTAGGAATAATATATAGCCCCATATCGGTTCAGACCAGATCTAGATGTCAAGTTAGTGTGCTACATACTTGCAAAAAAACTTCCAGTTTTAGAGCTTTTTGATTAGAGTTTTGGATGAGTATGTGGTTATTTTGGAGACAGATTTAGTGTGATCCATGGTTTGTGTGAAAATAGAAGATTACAGTTCTACTGCATTTTCCATTTCTTATTAGAAAAATTTTAAAAATGGATTAGAGTCTTAAATTTTTAGCCTTTGTACAGTGGTGGTAAAATAGGTTTTATCCCTTTCTACTTCAAACCAGTAAATTGTGTCCCAAGTGAAATTCTAGATTTATTTTGCTGTATTACAATCACATTTAATTTAAAAAATTAAGATAGCATACCAGTTGCAAAAAATACGTTTATAACATGTTTTTTCTGCATTACATGATAAAAGACATATTACCACCATTTGGTTTTGTATAGTTTATTTTTCTAAGCAGTGATTACCTTTTCTAAATTTTTATGTGGCTGAGTTCAGGCATGAAAAAGTATGCCATTTTATTACTATGTTACATATCCTGAATGTGAACACTTGTACAAGTTGTACTTATAAAAATAGGAAATTTTGATTTATTTGTGTTATTAGTAGGTGAAACTAATACCATATCACACACTGGTGGAATAATAATTTTATGGCATATGTCATTGTACGAACCTATAGCATTTCTTGTGTGGATATTATTGTCATTCATCTAGTATATCGGTGTGTGTCTCATGGACCTAGTCAAACACACACACACACACACACACACAAATATGGAACTATAGATAGAACCAGAGGAACTGAACAAAACCTGCAGGCTAATCCATGAGTTGACCTAGAGTGAGACTCTGCTTACATAGCACGAGTGTTCAACCTTTTCCGGGTGTGTCACTGCCAAAAAGGCTGAAAACTGCTAATAGTTCACATAGCACTCTAAATGGTAGTTTTAAGTAAATTACAGCCGTGAAACATTAGGGGGAATTCAGAATGATTGATACTGGTAGATTCAGTGCATATTTGCCACTATTCCATCTGATCTGTGGTTCTACTCTTTGTGTTACTAGACTAAGACAAGGTAATCCTGAAGCTCTAGCTGAAGAAGCAGAAGGAAGCTGTCACACATGAGCAGAATGAGTTTGTGCCCGTGTGTAAATACCACACTAGCCTGCTTCCTTATGGGTCTCTTTATTACCAGTTATTTCGGTCGGTTTCTTACTTAGTCTTATTTTTTTACGAATAATTATAGAATTATTTTAGAGTTACGTGTATTTTCTTGCTCTAGTGAGGACTTACATATTCTTGTAGTTAGGGTCACCAGTAGTCCCACGCTTCATTCAAATACAGTGAAGAGATTCAGAAACTATATTTTGGACTTTGAGAGAACTGGTCACTTTCCAGTTCATGTCTTTGTTTATAGAACGTTTCCTTAAGTGTGCCCTGAACTCACTTTTGTCCTTCTAGCCCAGGGAATTACGTGAGATCTCTTACTTTCTAGCTTGTGAGCTGCCTCTTCACAAACTGGCAAACACTGGCTCTTTGATTTCTACCTTTTCCCATGCTTGGGCCTCTAATTTCACTGCATCCATACTTCTCTAGTGCTCTGAACAGAGATCTTTTACGTGTTGCCCAGGTTCCGAGTTTTTAGAGAATTCGTTTAAATTGATAATTCACCTTTACCATTACTCGATACCCTAAAATGTTCAGTTTTAGAACAGAAGGGAAGATGTGATTAATAAACGCTAGTTGCAGAGATTTAAAAATGTTCTCATCCTTTCCATTACATATGTCCAAATTCCCTTTTCATGTAATAATACAGCAGCATATCGGTCATAATCAAGTTTTAGGTATGAAAAATTTGCAGAAAAGGAACATTGTGCATGTGTACAAGTTCTTACGGATAGTGTCACATAATACCAGTGTTCTTTTGAAAGTGGCTCAAGACAGAATGATTCAAACTGCTTGTACATTGCTGCCTTCTGAGAATCTATAAAGTGCAGGCTCCTCAGAACTCCTGAGGAACCACTCCCGTGCTGTAGGTAGTTGGGCGTGCTCCGGCTGTCTCTCTTACCGTTTCTCTTTAATTCTCTCTGCACAAACTCTTCGATGACTCTGGCTGCTATGTCTTTGTGCCACCCTTTTGTATAGTTTCATGGCTGTATTTTTTAGTTCAAGGTTTCTTCTCTCCTAAGTACGGACTTAAGAGAGTTCTTTTAAAGTTACTACTTTGAACCAGGGGTGATGGCGCACATCTGTAATCCCAGCACTCAGGAGGCTGAGGCAGGAGAATCGTGAGTTCAAGACCAGCCTTGGCTACAAAGTGAGCTCAAGGCCAGCCTGAACTGCATAGCGAGAGCCTGTCTCAAAAAGACAAAAACAAAAATAAACAGATAAATAAATAAAGTTACCAGTTTGACATTTAAGGTTTTCATTAAAAAAAATTATAGAAAATGATAAAGGCAGTGTAAAAAGTTCATGAATACATTTTTCCATTCTGATCTCAACAAAAAGTTTTTAAACTAAAGCGTGTATTAACCTTAGTAAATCCATAATTCTGTTTCTGTGCTTTTAGATGCTGCTGTTAATTCTGGAGAACTGTGGTTTGTAAACTTTTACTCCCCGGGATGTTCTCACTGCCATGATTTAGCCCCCACTGTACGTATTCTTTACATTCAAATTAGTAAAGTTTTATTTCTAATTGATCTTTTATTTGTGCTTTTTTTTTTTTTTTTGAGACGGTCTTGCTATGCAGTTCAGGCTGACTTTGCTCTCACTTTGTAGCCCCGGCTGGTCTCAAACTCGCAACGATCCTCCTGCCTCAGCCTCCCAAGTGCTGGGATTACAGACGTGTGCCACCATTCCTGGCTCATGCATATTTTTTAATACATTGAGGTTTTTTTATTAATAGCAATTATGACTGTCAGAAATATCAAATACTTTTGCATATGGATGGTTTTATTCAATAAAAATTCTCTCCTGTAAGACCTTATAACTTGAAGTATATTCATGTAAAGGAAGGTAATCTCAGCAGGAAAATAGTTATACTTTCTTTTCTCTCATAGTGGAGAGAATTTGCTAAAGAAGTGGATGGATTACTTCGAATTGGAGCTGTAAACTGTGGTGATGATAGAATGCTTTGCCGAATGAAAGGAGTCAACAGTTATCCAAGCCTCTTCATTTTTAGGTCTGGAATGGTAAGGGATAACATTAGCATTTTTCAAATTTGTGCATAACAGTTGAATATTAGAGATAATACAGCAGAAGAATTTGTAGAGTTCGTCTTAATTTAGGTGACCTCTAGTAATAATAAACACTTTGGATTATTTTATGAATCTTTATGTGCCATGACTTGGTTGTATTTTAAAATTAAATTTTTGCTAATTAACATAATTTATTCAATATGCATATTGTGTGTTGCAGTTTGCACAATATTTCGTAGATACTCTCATTGAATATAAAGTTCTAATCTTTTTCCCAGTTTCCAGTGATAAAACTGGAACAAAACTATTTTATAAATCCAATTAAACTGTATTCTACAAAAGATGGATTCTATAGAATCAAGATTCTCAGAGCATCATTTGGAAATATACTTCTGATGGATAGAACTTGCTGAATTACTCAAAATAAAGTAAAATCAAAGTATTTGGTATTTTAGAGAGTTTAAAAAGAAAATGTAAAAGGTGTTTCTTTTTATAAAAATCAATAGGCTGCAGTGAAATATCATGGAGACAGATCGAAGGAGAGCTTAGTGAACTTTGCCATGCAGCATGTGAGAAGCTCGGTGACAGAACTGTCAACAGGTAATTTTGTTCTCTTAATTTTTTTGATTTTCAAGGATACTTTATTGGTATTTTGAGTTTTACAGTGGCAGCATTAAGAGATTGTAACACTGACAGTTTTAAGTAATTTTCCTATGCTTCTTAGAAGGAAATTGCATCATTGCTCTGATTTTCTGCTGGTAGTAGGTATATCACAAAACCAGTTAGACACGGAAACTGAAGCATTTAGGATGTGGGAAATGGATGTGAGGGGCTAGGTTAAAAGGCATCTTTCAAAATGCTACTATTTAATGATCTAAGTGTTGGGTTTTTGTTTGTACATATGATTTGTGCATTGGTTTTGTTTGTACATACGGTTTTTAATTAATTTTATTGGTACGCTTTTGATATATATAATGATCACATTCATCGTAGGGAATTCGTAACTGTACATAATACATCTTGAATCTTTTCTCCCCACTGTGTATTTTTATAGATAGTAAATTCGTGCTATCCAGTTTAATTTTAAAGTTTAGAATCATCTTTAAACTTAGCCTTTTTGTTTATCAGATGACTTCAGCTGGTTATTTACTCTCAAAACTGTCCATGAAATGTTAGTGTTCATGTCTACAGGGATGTTTCTCCCATTGAGCACCGAGACGTGTGTCAGACACTGTTAAATACTAGGGCAACCATCAGTAATCCCTGCCATCAGTAACTTCATTACTGTAATGAGGAAGAATTAGTAAATAACTAAACTACAATGTACTAACTGTTATAATAGAGGTAAGCTTAGAAAAGCATAAATTATATGAAACAATCCTGCTGGGAAAAGGAAAAGTTAAAAAATACTTCTTGAGAAAGGTCATACGCAGTCCTTCATGGAGATGGACAGGAAGCCTTGAGAGAGCACCGTGATTGGGAATGGACAGTATATCATGAGTATGACAGAAAGATAGCAGTGGAGTAGAGCGGTGTGGAAAGGAGGACGGCTGTAGACGCACTTAGACCGCAAGGGCCCTTGCTTGCCACTTGTAGTTTTCCTCTTAAGAACACACTGAATGCAGATTTTATGCGATGAAAAACTTGGGAAGCCAGTGAAGAGTTTTAGAAAGTAACTGATTGTATTATTCAGAGTGGAATAGAAAAGGGTAGGGCTAGAAAAAAGGTCATTTGGAAGCTGTTTCTGTTATTAAGTAATAGGTGATCAGAAATTTGCTTTGTTTTCTTTCAAGGGAATTTTGTTAACTCCATACAGACTGCTTTTGCTGCTGGTATTGGCTGGCTGATCACTTTTTGTTCTAAAGGAGGAGGTAATTTTGTTATTTTGTTAGAATGAAAAGACTGTAACGTTTAAATTTCAGGTGTTAATTTTAAGTATGCTACTATAAATGACTTTTCAGAAAATAATCAGTTGATGATTTGAAACTACGATTTAAACCCAAGATTACAATTTTTTCACTTAATAAGTATTTACTTTTATTATTTTAGACACAAAAGGCTCTCAGTTTGTTAATTTCTTAATGGATCATTTACACTTTTACATTTTGGTGGGTGAATTTCTCAGTGTAATTGTATTTACAAGAAATTGTACCTCCGGTAGCTACAGGTATATTTTGGCAGTTTTCATTAGTAGTTGTTAACAGATATAATCCCTCCCAAGGTCCATAACAATACGGACTTTGCTTCTGTCTATATGTAAAAAATTTATACATTTGTCTCATAAAAGTGTCTGTATAAAGGTGGTAAGTTCTCATTTCTAGGACCTTTCCCTTGGTAAATTATGTTGAAAATTCAGTACCTCACATGCCAAATTACAAAATGGAAATCATATTGAGTTAGATTGGTTAAAAATTGGTCCCAGTATTACTGAATATCCTAATTCATTGTTAAATTTTCATATGTTAAGTCCTAACATGGGTCTGCTTCCCACATTTTACCTCTCACTCTCCTTGCTGCTCTGTTAGGAATGTATTGTAACTAAAATTGACCACCCTCCCCATCCTGTGTTAGGAAGACCTGTGTTAGGAAGCTTTTGGTTTTGAGCATAAATCAGCCATAAATTCGGTTATTCATCAAGAGATTTTGTCTCATTGTGGCCTAATGTCCAAATTTCTGTCGATCCACACATGAACAAAACTTTAACCTTTTTAACATTGTTCTACTTTTTGTTTAAACTGCTTTTACCATTTTCTGTAGGCTCTGTGATGCTGCTGGTCCCTTCTCTCAAATCTCACCGCATTGTACTCTTAACATATTTACAGAACCTTTATAGAAATAATATAGAACCTCCTTTCAGGTCTTAGGGTATTTTAAGGATTCTTTACGTACATCTGTTTATCAGATAGATCCATTACATTTTATTATTTTCAAGTCATGGGATCTCTTGGATAAAGGAAATTGTTAATAGAAATTTGAGGGAACTACTCTAAATAGACACATACGTTTTCTCTGTAGCTAGAAATCCTGAGAAATGAAAGGGAGAGAATCAAAGTGTGTATATGTGTATAAAAGGAGACTTCGGCCTCCATATCCAAGTATTATTAAGGATGTCAGTGTTTGACAGTGTAGCTCAATTATTGCCCTAGAATCAGCATGGTTATTTGGGAAACAGGCATGCGAGAGTAAGCTTAGTCTCGTAACATTTTCTCCCCTCAGATTGTCTGACTCCACAGACACGACTCAGGCTGAGCGGCATGTTGGTAAGCACCCTTCATTTTGTAAAAACTCACCCTGTGAAGCAGCACGTTTATAAATTCCAAATATTTTTAATTTCTTGAACACATATATTTCTAAGCTTTCTTAGTTTCTGATAAATACATTCTAACTGTAAGTTTCTTTCTAAGTGTCTTTGTTCACTTTTGCCATGTGGTGTTTTCATTTGCACTCACTTCTAAGGTTCTGCAAGGTAATTATTTGTTTATTATGAATTCCTCCAGTTATGTGTTCATGTTTTTACCATTTTGAAACCTTGCTTTTAGTTTATTTTGTTTACATCATGTTATGATTGGAAAACGTGGTCTGTTATATGTTGATTCCTTAACCTTATTGATGCTCCCTTTGTGGCTCAGGAGTTAGTTGTGAATATTAGAAAATTATATGTGAGCTTAAAAGTAAGTTCTCCATGATAGGTATAATTTTTCTTTAAAATTTTTATTTTATTTTTTATTTTTATTTAGATCAGATATCTTAATCAGTTCATGTCGCGTTACTTTTGTACTATTTGATCTATAATTTCTGCAGTGGGCATATTAAAGCCTTGAGCTACAAACACTGATTTTTCTGTTTCTCCCTATATTACAGTTACTCTCTTATATATATCGTCATGACTGTCGTTAGTTTCGTCAGTATGTAACGTGATCCAGTCCACTTACACAAATCTGCCTTACACCTGCCCATGAGGTAGAGGCTCTGAAGCACAAAATGGTATAGCGTGTTGCTATGCTGAAAGCTGTAGGCACTTGGAGCATGGTGCTGTCTGTATCTGTACCTAGAAAAATACCGTAAAAGTATGATATGAAAGGTAAAAAAGTGAAAGGAAGTGAGTGCAGCCGTGTAGCACACTTAGCATGAACGGAGCTTGCAGGACTGGACCTTGCTCTGTGAGGGCCAGGACATGACGGTCACTACTGTGACTTTATAAACAATAAGGTTGACCTTAGTTTTCTGTAACTTTGTTACTTTGTAAATTTTTTTTTAACTTTTTGACTCTTGTAAATCTTAATTTTAATGTGTTAAAATACATAACATGTTAACATATAACACCATCGAAATCTAGCTGCATCCATGCTGCTTTTAAGATAACTTTGATTTTCTGAAGTTGTTGTGATTTGCATAGGTCTGAGTTTATTTCTTCTGCCTTGAGACTTATTAAACAGCTGAATCTATAGGTTAAGTATCTTTCCAAGTTGAGGAAGCTTCTTAGCTGTTATTTCATTATTGCTTATGTCCCATTCTTTTCCATTGTATTTTAGAATCGTGATTGAATGTGTATTCATCCTCTTACTTGTTTACCAAGTTGTCCTGTCAAGAAAAGTTTTGCAATAACTTGAAGTCCTGAGAAATAATACTTTTTATGTAGGATTTTGGAGCTCATTAAAAGAGCTTAACCAGTAATAGGTTAAAAACTGGGAAAGTACTGATTTAATTGTAGTAGACACACAGAATATCTGAGAAACTGTATGATACATACCTAAAGTAGTCATACGTCTCAAAGGCTAAGCATAATGGTGCACACCTGTAAATCCCAGCACTTGGGAGACTGAGGCAGGAGGATTGCTGTGAGAATGAGCCCAGCCTGGTCTACATAAGTGAGTTCAAGACCAACCTGAACTTTATAACAAGATCCCATCTCAAAAAACAAAAAAATTATACAAATCATAAAAAGTACCTGTTTAATATCAAAGGAAAAATTGCATTTTATTACCTCAAGTTATAGAATACTGTTAAGAAAGTACAGTTTTACAGTGGAAAAGTGGGTTTGGGGCTAGGTAAAGCAAAATGCCATTTTCTCTTGTTTACAACATAGCATGTTTTTCTTTCTTTCTTTAGGATGGTCTCGTTAATGTAGGATGGATGGACTGTGCTGCCCAGGACAATCTTTGCAAAAGTCTGGATATCACAACAAGCACTACTGCGTATTTTCCTCCTGGAGCCACTTTACATAACAAAGAAAAAAACAGCATTTTGGTATGAGTAACTTTAAGCAGATTTCTTTACACTGACATGTGCACATACACATTCGAAAGAAATACGTCATTTTGTAAGTGGTGAGCAAAGCAAGGAATCATTTTATATCACTTGACAGTGGAAAATTTCATTATTTAGAAGAAGTAATTTCTCACTAAGTCTGTTACAAGGATTATTTTTAAACCAGCATTTATATTACATTTAAAACCGTTACTCTCTTAAACCTCAAAAGTATGGAATACATTCTTAGGATTAATGAAAGAACATTTATGGGTTCTTTTTATGGTTTCCATGTAGTTGTTTTCCTAATGTTAAAAATACAGATCATTCATAGGTTCAGCTGGGGCCCGGGATCTCTTTGTTAAAGCAGGCTGTGGGAGTCCGGTGTAAATTCAGTTTGGAAATCCAGTACAGTTCACCTTCCTAAGTGTATGAATGAGGAAACTGAGACTCAAGCTCGTTGTCATAGAGCTGAGATAAATAATGGGATATTGGAGAAGTCTTGTCAAATCCCAGAAGAATACAGAGGGCTCTGATAAAGACAGTCTTAGTTTAATAGACAGCCACCATCAAACCTTGGTACATACCCTCCCAGACCTCTTCTTACACATGTGCCTAGGTGTGACCTTGTGTCAGCAGCTCTTCAGTTTGCCTCTGTGCCTCAGACATTTCTCCTCCACTCCGGAAATGTTGCATATACACATAACACCTCTCCCTGTTCAGCCTCTCCTCTGTAACATTAGTCAGCGTCTCACATTCCAGTGCCTATAAAAGTACGCCCAGTATCCCCCATACATCTGCTTCACCCAGTTTCCCCACCTCCGTCCTTTATTTTTCAGGCCAGATGCCCTGGAATCATTCTTGATTCCTCTTTTTCTCATACCTTGCAACCAGTTCATCAGGAAAACCTATGGTTCTATCTTTAAAATGTTTTGTAAGTCACCTTCATTGCTACCAGAGCTCGTTACTTTGTCTCCTACATTGAACTTTACTTTGGATTTATGCACTGATGTCTGCCAAATTCCTAGGAGAGTTCTTGGATGTGTCTATGGTACCTGCTAAGTACACATAAACATGCTGTGTTTATGCACTATATGATACACACATACAGTAGATGTATAGATGCAGATAAGTAGAGAGTGATAAATGAGATCACAGAGATTTTGTTTTCTGATTTTTTTTTTACTCAGTGTATCAGTAAAATTCTTATCAATAAGTACATTATACATATAGTTTCAAGAGTATTTATATATTATTCTTTAACTAATTAACAGTCCCTATATGTTCATCTTGTGTTCTTCTTTAAAGTGTAATTCCTGTAGCCAGGTTGCCCTCCAGAAGTGTGCTAGTTTATATTGAGGATTGTCTACACTTAATGCAGCCTCTTGCCTGCCAACTTTGAGTACTTCGTCTGTTCACATACAGTGAACAGGATCCAGTACTTGGGGCCTTAAGATATAAAATTACAAGTGATATTGGAAATGTATTAGAAGGAAGAGGTGAATTAAACACGGCTGTTCCTCCTAAAAGCACTCACATATTAAAAGTTGAAGTGCTGCGCTAAGTATATCTGGAAGCTGAAATTCAGAGGCGAGATAAGACAATATCCTCATAGGTGTAATTAGCAAGTACTACTCCTAAGACAAATTTATAATGAGGTTTAGTATATTAATTTCACATATATAAACATTTTAAAAATATAATTGCAATAAAATGTAGACCTATAAGCTATGAAATTGAAAAGATGAAAAAGATTTCTGTTTTGGCTTTTTAAGCATTTTGCCAGCAGATTATTTCATAGAGATCTTTAAGAGTATGCTGTAGAGTTTAATAAACTTACAAGCAATTTTTAAAAATTAGAAAATGAGCTTTCAATTCTTACAGTGTGCTTGTTTCTATCCAAATTTTCATTCTCATATCTAGTATTGTTGAGGTATAGATTTGATGATACTAGTTCCCTCATGTTTTAAATGGAGTTTGAAATCTTTCAAGTAATGTTTGAATTGTTAAACATAGATCCATAAAGATATGCAGCCCTCGTTTATTTTCTCAGTGTAACCATTGCTGCACTCTTCATAGTAATAGCTGCTTCGTTGAGAATTAGGCCAGAAGGAGCAGTTCTATAAACAAACGAATAAATTTTGGTGCTGATAAAATATAGACAGAAATTAAGGAGATTTGTTAGAAGGATGGTGTGCTTATATTGTTTGTATTTTAAATAACACATGTGGCTTTAAAGCATGTTTAAAATAAGATCTTTGTGGTCAGGTTTGTGAAAGTTGCCATTTCTGAAAACCGTCTTAAGCAGTAATAACCATTCCACTTTTCCCACAGCTTCTTCTTAAGCGCTATTAATTATGGTTGGGGCATGAAGTGTCTTAGTACCAAAAATTTAAGACAATGGAAAGCACTGGAATTCTGTAAAAGATGGTTAGCATTAAATTGAATATAATGTATTTTCCTGGTGCTTTCAAGGTCACTCCTAAGTTACTGTAGGAGTAACACAAAATTCCAGTTAATAAAACACCTAATGATGGACTTTCTTTTATATCACTCTTTAAAAAAAAAACCTAGCAACATTTTTAATACTTACCAAAATAATGATATACTGTACCTTTGAGAAAACAGCATTTGGTTTTGTAATTGTTCCTGTTTGAAAAGTAAAAGAATCTAGGAAATGAATGTTTATCCAAAAGATTACAATAGATTCTCTTTTTCTAGTTTCTTAAGTCATTGGATGCTAAAGAAATATATTTGGAAATAATAAATAAACTTCCAGATTTCGAACTACTTTCAGCAAAAACACTAGAGGTAACGTTTTTGTTAATAATAAATAGTAAATATGGATAGCATTTTAAAGTCTTAGTATTTTAAACTCAGTATTTGTTTCATTCATTGCTATTTAATTAAAAGCATTTCAAAGACTTATATAGTAGTCAATTTTAGGTTAAATTCTAATTGCTGAAATTCTGGTGTTGGGAATTCAAAGTGGATCCTGTAGTTTTGGAAAACCTGCCCAGTTCTGAAGGTGGATTGCAAAAAAGGGTCCAAGAGGCAAGATTTTGATCACAGAGCAGCTTTGGATCTGATTTGGAACTTTATTTTCTTGCCAACAGAGCACTTTGTTGTCCACCGAGAATTAAAAAGCATTGTATATCAATAGACTGCTTAGAAAGGGTTTACTTCATGAGAGAGTGAATCGTTGTATTCTACTTAGCACTCCTAGGGCCTGTTTTTCTGCCACATCTTACATATTGAACCTGATGAAGCTGACTTCTCCAAACTTGCCTTCAAATTTTAGCTGTATATTGTTAAGACCCTATCTTTTTGTCACAGTCATCTCCTTTAAGATTTATTGATTCAGTGCCTTCCCTACCTGTGCTATGCATTTGCATCAGATTATTCCCAGTAAACTACACAGTAACAGTATGAATGGCTCTTCAGTTAGGTTGTATTTTGAATTAATGGGCAGGGTAGATAAAACTAACTTCAAAGGAATAAAAAGTAGATCCTTCAGAATTTCTTTTCTTTGATGTTGCTTTTTCTTAATTACTTTGAAGGATCGTTTGGCACATCATCGCTGGCTCATATTTTTCCATTTTGGAAAAAATGAAAATTCAAATGATCCTGAGTTGAAAAAACTGAAAACGCTGCTTAAAAATGACCATATTCAAGTAAGAAAAAATGCGTTGTGCTCACCTCCTGCTGTATGCATATCAATCTAATACCTATAACTGAATGGTAACGATGTTTGTTGACATTCTGCGTTAAGAAGCCTATTAATGCTTTTGATCTTGGGGCTGGGATTTTTGTTTTTTCTTTTTGTATTACAAAATGGACATGGTATCTTAAAGTGATGAGTTTTCATTCTTTTGGCGTTTGACACATCTGTATCATAGTTTTCCGGGTTTGAATACTATACCAGAATGTCTTTTCCTTTTTCAGAGTAATATTTTATTTAACCTGATGTATTGAAAACAGTCTCAATATGAAATCTTTTTACTTTTTTAAATTGACAATATTTGTACATGTTTATGAAGTGTAGTATAGTAGTTCAATACATGTATAATATATAATAATTACCACTTATGCATCCTCAAACATTTATCATTTCTGTGTGCTACAAACCTTATTCTAGTTATTTTGAAATAATGAAATGGTAGACCATAGTTATTATACTGTCTATAAAACATCAGTAATTTTTTTTAGCTTCCACAAAGGAATGAAAATGTGATATTTGTCTTTCTGTGCCTTTTTTCACTTAACATGATTTCTACCAGCTCAATCCACATTACTGCTGCAAATGACAGAATTTCTTTTAAGGGGCTGAATAATCTTGTGTGGTGTGGTGTGGTGTGGTGTGGTGTGTATATATGTATATATACTACACTTTCTCATTCAACTGTTTGTAAATACTTTGGTTGATTCCATATCTTAGCTACTGTGAATAGTGCTGTGATAAACTTTGATACAATGGTTTTATTTCCTTTGGATTACCAAGTAGTGGGATTGTTGGATCAAATGATAGATCTTTTTATAGTTCTTTTAAAAATCTCCATACTGTTCCTTGTAGTGGCTGCACTAACTTATAGCTTCACCAGCAGTGTATGAGTTCCTCTTTCTCCATATCCTGACAAGTACTGGTTAATTTTTTTCTTTTTGATAAATTCATCTCCTATTCTGAGTGGGAGGAGATGAATGCTCGTTGTGGTTTGAATTTTCCTTTCTGTGATGATTAGTAATAGTGAGCATTTTTCATTACAAATGTAGAACTCCCTTAAGCATTTTTGTTAGGCTGGCCTAGTAATAGTAAGCTTCAGTTTTTTTATAGGATAGCTTTGCTGGGTATAGTATTCTTGGTTGACAAGTTTTGTGTTTTGGTTTAATTTTTTTGTATTTTGTTTTTGTTTTCCTTCAGAATTTGAATCTAGCATCCCATTCTCTTTTGGCCTGTAGAATTTTTGCTGAGAAGTCTGTTAGTCTAACTGGAATTCCTTTGTATGTGGCTAGGTGCTTTTTTCTTGCTATTTTTTAGAATTCTTTTCAACTTTTGACACTTTGCATATAGTAAGCTTTGGAGGTCTTTTTTGGTTGTATCTAATTGAAGTCCTTTGAGCTTCCTTGATCTGGATATTTGTGTCTCATTCAAGACTTTGGGAGCTTTTGGCTATTATTTTCCCTCTGTTTTCTTTGTGGAATCCCCATAGTACAGATACTTGTTCACTTAAGAGTTTCTCATAAGTCTCATAGGTTTTATTTTTTTTTTTAATCTGTATGAGTTATTTCAAAATATCTGTCTTGCTTTTCTCCCTCTTAAAGTAGCCTGTTTACATTTTTCTGTTGTATTTTTCAGTCTCACTGAATTTTTTAGCTTCTGGATCTCTTGTTTTTTTATGACTTCTATTAAATGTTCACTTCCTAAGTTGGTTTACTCATTTCACTGAATTGTCTATCTGTATTGTCTTGTATCTGAGTTTTCTTAGCCATCGCTTTGAATTCATTCTCAAGCATTTCATAGATTTTCTTTATGTTAGGTTGTTTCTGGAGAATTACTGTATTTCTTTGGAAATACATCATGTTTTCTTGCTTTTTATTTTTCTTGTATCCCTAGTTTGGTGTTTGCACCTTTAGTGTAACAGTTGCCACTTTCACTTTTTGGAGAGTAGCTTTTGTAGGCAGACTTGTGCATAGATAGGCGTAGGGCGTCCTTTTCGTCGGTACTTCGGCGTGGGTACTCAGTGAAGACACAGGACAGTCTCCACGTGACTTTCTCGGCTGTATTCAGTGTCGGTGGTGTCTGCACCCCGTGTGTGTGTGGAGGTTAGTGGGCTCTCAGAGGTGCCTATCACAGGCCCCTCTAAGTCAGGCATGAGGCAGTGTGGCGTCTAGCAGTGGCAGCTGCAGTGCCGGGGCGTGGACGGTGGAACGTGCATCCTCAGCCCTGCAAACTGAATGTCCTGGCACCAGAGCTCCTGCAGTGCGGGCTGCTTACTGGTCCCCAAGGCGGAGTGACATCTAGCTGTGCCTCTGTTCTTAGGTGGCACCGTGCCTCACAGCTTGGGCTCTGGAAGTTGGTGAAGGAGCCTGACCTGAGTTCCTTCTCTGGAGCATTCTTTAACTGAATTGAGTTTTGAGGACTAAATGTAATTGAACTATTTTCCTTTTTTTAACTGATTAACTTCCGTTGAGAAATAGTGCCACAAGAGCAATGTTAGAGTTATCTTTAGGAATATTTAACTGCAAATTGAGTGGGTGGTATTTTGTTTTTCTGAAATTCAACCTTGTCTTTGTACTTTCCAGGTTGGAAGATTTGATTGTTCCTCTGCTCCAGGCGTCTGTAGGGATCTCTATGTTTTCCAGCCCTGTCTAGCAGTATTTAAAGGCCAAGGAACCAAAGAATATGAAATCCATCATGGTAAAAATGGGAAAAATAAGTCCATCTTCATTTTCAAATAGAAATTTTCTCATTATGTTTGTTAGCTTGTTTTGTGTGTTAATAGTTTTTGTTTTCATTTATTAGTAACTAGAAAACTGCTCAGGGTAGATTTTTAAATCCAAAAGTATCTGACTCTAAAAGATAGGCTTACTCCTGCTATGAAAGTCTTAAAAGTACCAGTAATAACTAAACTTTGATAGTGGAGATATATTTGTTTCCCAAATATTTCTCAGACTCCCCTCTTCTGTGTTTGCTGCCTTGTTTTGAGCCCATCATCTCTTAGATCTGCTGTAATAACGCCTTCCTTTGGGGCTTCTCGTCTTCTAGTCTTTTTACAATTGAATCCTTGTCATGTCTTCAGAGCTTGAACTCAGAACATCATTTTCATTCACCTTTCTTCTTTGACTCCAATTCTTTTAGAATAATGTTTAGATTCCCTAGCACAGCAGTAGTGACGGCCTCAGTGTATCTGTCCCCTGCATTTAGCATGGTGCCTGGCAGGTAGAACGCAGGAAGTACTTGTTAAGCGAATGAGGGACTTTCACAGTCTCCCTCTACCAGCTTTCCCAGCCTCATCTTCCACCTCCACCTCTCCAGATAATCTTACCTCCACTGCTTTTGAATGCTTGAAAATGCCTTGTTCTTTCACTCTTTTATCCTCTCACATGAGTTTTCCTCCTGCATTGTAATCATTCCTCCTGCATTGTAATCATTCCTCTCAGGCCTCAAAATATTCAGCAAACTCCAAATAACCTTCAGAACTTAAAGCAGCTTCTTCCATGGAAAATATACACAGAGTCCCCAGGCACATTCTTTCATGTGCTATTACTAATTTTATACCCTGGTATTGTGTTCAGATTTAAATAGGTACAGTATGGAAAACAGGAGAAAAAAATCTATACTTTTTCTCCCTGCCTTAAAGAACATTATAGAGTAGAAGAGAAAACAGACAAGTAAATAAACAAATTTTCAAAATATCTGTCCGCAGCAGTGAGTAGGTATCAGTTGGTGAATAGTAAATTACCCCGTGACTTAGCAGCCTAAAACAACACATACTTGTGAACACAAGGATTTCGGAGGTCAAGAATCTGAGAACAGGTTAGCTGCATGGCTCTCCATTCGGGTCATCTCATGATGCAGAGTAGATGAGGGCTCTGGCCATCTGAAAGCTGAACTGCAGCTGCTGGATCTGGGTTCACAGAATACCTAAGCCGGTGCGGCACCTCATGTGGTCGGAAGCGGAGATGTTTGTGAAGCAGTTGAAGAAACAGCTAAAGAAAAAAGCAGGACAGCACAATACTGTCTATCTCCATATAGTTGTGAAATGTGTTTCTTCTGCTGGGCTGTGAACTAAAGAGAACTTCATTTTCATTTTTACTATTTAAAACAGGCCTGACAGATACTTAATTTTGACTGCTGAATAAATGAATCAAAGGGCACTTGAGAAAATAAATTGTGCTCTGGTTGAAAAAGATATTATTTGCCAACAAGAATATTTTTTAGGCAGTGGTAAATTATTAGAGGCATTTAAGCAAGTAAACAGTACGATAAGATTGATACTTTTAGGTGGATTCCGCTAGTGGTGTAGAAAATGGATTAATTAGGGAGAGCTGGGGATAGAAATGCCAGCATGGCTATTGCAGTAGGCCAGGGTGAGTTCAGGCAGTGGCAGCAGAGTTGGAGACCTGGTAAGAGATTGACTGAAAGGAGTTTGTGTTGTGTGTATCTTTTGGAGGCAAGGTCTCACTATGCAGTGCATGCTGGTCTTGAACTCGCTTTATAGCCCAGGCTGGCCTCAAAACTCACAACGATCCTCGTGCCTCAGCCTCCTGAGTGCTGGGATTACAGGCGTGTGCCACCACGCCTGGCTGAATGGAGTTATGATACAAGAGCAGACAAGCAAGGCAAGGATCACTCGGGGGGATCTTATTTAGGCACCTGATTGATGGGGTTATGTCGTTGCCAAGCAGGAGAAGTGAGAAAAGGAGCAAGTTTGGGGGAAAATAACTTGGCCTCAGTTTAGGTCTTGTCTTTGCAAAGTTCGTACACTATTCAGGTACAGTTTCCCACTGTTCATTTGCTAATAAGTTGAAGCTGGTAGAGCAGTTAGGCCATAGTAACAGCATGAAGAATTCTAAGTCATTATAGCGAAGAGATTGTTCTACCTCTGATATTGGAGCATTTCACAGAGATCTTAATGTTTTGATGAGGCCAAGATACACAAGAGTGTTCAAGAAAAGGGTACTGCTGGTAGCAAAACCATCTACAAATAAAGAATGCAAAAACACCAAAATTATAGCAAAATCAATTTGTTTATAAGTTCATCTTATAGTTTGAGTACAAGAACTTTTAAATGTTTCTATGTAAATACAGATTATGGACTTTAATCTTGCTTTTACTTAATTTCACAGGAAAGAAGATTTTATATGATATACTTGCCTTTGCCAAAGAAAGTGTTAATTCCCATGTTACCACACTTGGACCTCAAAATTTTCCATCCAGTGACAAAGAACCATGGCTGGTTGATTTTTTTGCCCCTGTAAGTTATTTTTATCTGTCAGATTTTAATACTATACTGTGTTTTCTCTTGTCATGGCAGAAAGAAGTTTGTAAATGATGTTGAGCCACTATTAGATAAACTCCCAAGTGAGCACTGAGATGAGTAGCCCTGCAGAGAGTTAGGTAGACCAGAAGGTAGACCAGGAAGCACAGTTGTCTTACTGAGCAGGTTACTACAGAAGTGATGGGAATATTTCCTTAAGTTGGCTCGTTGCTTATGAATGCTCTTTTGTGTTTTAGTGGTGTCCACCCTGCCAGGCTTTACTGCCAGAGTTACGGAAGGCATCCACACTCCTTTATGGTCAGCTGAGATTTGGTACCCTAGACTGCACAGTCCACGAAGGGCTCTGTAACATGGTAAGGCAAAGTATAGCAAATAGACTTGAGTTAATATTTGTGTAAAATAGAAACTTTTAAGCATCTTAATATTAAAGCAAGGCAGATACTGCTTGGCTGTCTAGGTAATACCTTAAGTAAATGGAGAAATCAGGTGAGTAGTTCATGTTTATTTATCTTACCTTTTGGGCAGTCTATAATTGTCTTTAGTTTTCCTTACAGTTGTCTTCTAAGTATAAAGTTAACAGAAAAACAGTGATCAAACATTTTGAAACCTTTGTTTACATGAAAATATTTTCATAGGCAAACAAATACTTTCTAGTCCTCAGCTCCAATGTTACACTTTGATGAAGATCTATAATACTGCTTCTAAATACTATTGGCATTAACCAAAAATCAGTCCTGAAGTGATGAGAACTGCAGTGACAGAGGTGCAAGCTCGCTGGCACCATGGGCTTGCAGTCTGGATCTCAGCATGTGTGGGCAGGGAGAGAACGTCACAGTCTGCCTGGAGCTAGTTGTTGTTGAATACAGGGGAGAGATGTGTAGGTACTTGGCCAGATTATACTCTTTTATTTTCAACATGCAGGAAATGTTATTAAAATAAGTTTTTTAAAAAGAAAACAGCCTTTGGTTTCTAATGTTCTGTAGGTGTCTTTGAAAAATAAATGCCAACCAAAGATGAAAAATTGTGATAAACAATAATTATCTCATTTGAATTCCTTTACATTTTCTACCTTTTATCTCAGATCATTAAGTAGCACTAATACAATAAGTATAAGGGTGTAAAATAGGGGATCAGATTCACTGCTTATTGATTAGTTGCTACTCACTGATTGGTTCACCTTGACCAAGTCACTTGGCTTCTCCGTAATTGTTTTCTCATCTGTGAAGTAGGTTTTGTAATTTTAACTCATGGACAAAATTGTGAGAAATAAACGAGAAACAGTAAGGTTAGTATTTGACACATTGTAAACACTTAATAAATTTTACTTACTATTTTATTAATCTAATGAATTATTTGAATTTGCACATTTTTTCGGAACTCTGTTGTTGCATTTTTTTTCTAAAATTATTTATGACTCCTCAAAGGTTGCAGTTTGCTAATTTGTGCTTATCCTCTTAAGAGTATAAAGTTCAGCCATAGAAAATCTTTATAACTTCATAAAAAATAAAAACTTCAGAAATATACTGTACATCTTGGGCCAATACCTATATTAATTCTGCAGTGGAAATTAAATATTTTGTACCACAAAGACTCTTTAATGAAGAACAAAACATGGCCACATTCTTAAGGCATAATTCATATTTCTTCAACCTAAAATACAGTCTTATACATATTATTTATTCTATTTTATGCTCTTGCATCATCTACTTTCAGAAAAATTAAGGGTTTGTCTTGTGATTTCAAAAATTATGAAATACAAACCTGTTTTTTATACTTTCTTCGGTTCAGAAAAAGGGGAGCAAGCATGCAATTACTCATGCATTTACCTTCTTTAATACCTTTGATATCTGTGGTTAATGACGTACCTAAAGTAAGGATCAGGTGTGATCGGAACAACTGTGAATCCATTTTCTTGGCTGAATATGTCTATGCTAAAATTTTTAGTCACCAAAAATTTAGCAGTGGGGTTATCAGATCTGATTGTTGTTACTTGGAGAAGCTCCTTATAAAATGGAAAGAAATAGGTATCATATATAACATCTTTGGTGAATCTGTATTCTCCTCCCTCACAGTATAATATTCAGGCTTATCCAACGACGGTGGTATTCAACCAGTCCAGTATTCATGAGTACGAAGGCCATCACTCTGCTGAACAGATCTTGGAGTTCATAGAGGTATTTTCCTGTGAACAGAAACATGTGACTAGAAACCCTTCTGTTTATATGTATACCTTCAATGACTGTTTCATGCCAACATGTTATTTCCTGAAAAGGAAAAATCTAAAATTTCAAGTCTGTGTAACCTAGTATATTGCCTTGTACCAAGGGACACAACTATTGAATAGATGTAATTCTGTTTATACCTCCAGTTTTGCCGCTTCCTGCCCTGCGCACACAGCAACAAGCCCATCAGTCTCTGCCACACCTGCTGTAGTTAGCTCAGGAGGGCCGGGGCCACAGCAGCAGTCCCAGGCCTCCTAGGAAAGATGGGAAACTCGCTTAACACTGCCCTTTCCTCTCCATTTTACTCAGTCCTGTGCGCCTGTCCCTCCTTCTCTGAGGCAGTGTTTGATTGTTTTTTGCTTTCCCAGTGACATTCGCCTCCCTTTAGTCACCTGCGTATCATTAGCTGAGGCTTCATTACAGCAGCACTTGGAACCGTGGTCTCTAGAGAGGTTGTGCAGTAGCTCCAGTCGGAATCTCAAAAAGAAAATAAAAAGAGACAGTAGCCGTTCTGTTCCATGAGTAATTAAGGGTCATTTCCAAACCAGTCATTCTTGGACAGAGAGCAGAACTCTGACCTGTGCGAACAGCTGAGCAGCTCTGAGAACTCTTTTATTGTCTACTCCTAATCTTAATAAAAGCCTCTCTAGCCAGCCTACGTTGGTTTCAGTGATAGACCCAAGGGCGAAATCCAAAGAGAAAATTGGTGACTTTCATTTTTGTTGTTGTTTTCGTAAGGCAGGGTTTCTCTGTGTAGTTTTGGCTGGCCTCGAACTCGTGGCCGTCCTCCTGCCTCGCCCGCCAACTGCTGCGATTACCGGCATGCACCACCACGCCCAGCTACAATTTTCATTTTTTGAAACAGTTCACAAGATTTCCTTTAAATATGTTCAAGCATCTTTTCATTTCTGTAAAGCAGGACCTTCCCAGGACTCTGTGAACAACTCTTTTTGTATCTACTAACAGTCATTTGTTCTCTTTAGGATCTTAGAAACCCTTCGGTGGTCTCTCTTACACCCACCACGTTCAGCGAACTGGTTAAACAGAGAAAGCACGACGAGGTCTGGATGGTTGATTTCTATTCCCCGTGGTGTCACCCCTGTCAAGTCCTGATGCCAGAATGGAAAAGAATGGCTCGGGTACGGTGAAACCACGTCTTTTCAGTCCTGACCACTCACTAAGGAAGGTTTATTTCACAGACTTGTTTGTGAAACTGAGATTAACGAACTCAGATAATTACTTAACAACAGCCCTGAGTACGACTCTACCTCATTAAGACTCTACCTCGGTTTCCATCAGCTTGACTGTGTAGTTTAGCCTTTCTCATGTGCATCAATTTTGACTAAATTGTTACCAACGTCAACCAAAAACCCTTTCATTTTCTATTTAAATTTTTGTGCCACTTTTTCTTCCGAATTTAAATATCACTTCATCGCAGTATTGTGGAACTTTACAAAAAAAGTAGTCTTTACCAGCAAAACAGTTCTATGTAGAAATGTCCTGCAAATAAGCACAGTGGTAGAAATTATGAATGCTTGGAAATTATTTAACTGCCAGAGTAGAAAATGCATGTAATATTCATTTCTAAGATAAAAAGGGAACTTAAGAGTCAGAGTGCTTTCTAGTGTCCTAATGCTTAAAATTGTAACTTTTCACCCTTTTCAATAAAGTTTTGTAATTTGAGTGTGAGTCAAAGGATTACATGTAATCCTTACCCCTACTTTAAGAGTATTTATTTAAACTATCATTGCAAAGAGCTTCATTAGTTTTTGGTTTTTAACAGAGTTCTGGTTTCTGTTTCCCAGGTAATAAATGAAGTATATTTACTCTGCAGTAATTCTGTTATTAATTACAGCATTAGATTTCAGATCCATTAGTATTTTTAAAATTGTGACTTGTTATTTGGGTATGGTCACTGGTAAATAATAACCATTTCACAGTGACCAGTTCTTTATTACAAACATGAAAAGCCCTGGAGGGTATTTCCTTTTAATCACTACCAGTTTCCTCTTTTACAGACATTAAATGGACTGATCAGCGTGGGCAGTGTAGACTGCCAACAGTATCATTCTTTCTGTGAGCAAGAAAATGTTCAGAGATACCCTGAGATAAGATTTTATCCCCAAAAATCAAATAAAGGCTATCAGTATCAGTAAGTATCCTCTCAAATTTGAAGCCATTTATTACAGTGACTTAATTCTAGTTATTCTGACTAAAAGCTAAGCAGATGCTGGGAGCACACCGTCTTTCAGGTAGTGTTAATGAGCGCTGCAGAAGGTAAGGGAGAACTAACAGTGGGACTGGTCAGAAAGTGAGTCTCATCAAGAAGATGGAAGAACGCTGACATCAAATGTCTATCTCCTGTCCCATGCTCTGCCGCAGCAGATCTTCACTCACATTATTCCCACACGTCTTCACATTTACTCTGAGGAAGGAGTTTCAGCCTTTCCTACTACGACAGCGAAGGGCGTTCAGCAGCACTTAGGAAATACTCCAAGGTCACACACCTGCTTAGGGTTAAAGCTGGGCCGAGGGCCTGAGACTGTCCCAGGGCCCGCGCTGTTTCCACACCACCACTTAGTTTTTCAAGCAGAATTCTCAAGTCTAAGGTAGAGTAGGATGAGTGTTATTAATGCAGTAAAAGTGATTTGTGGATTTTAAGAATCAACAGATGATAACTGAGGAAATCATGAAAACCTGCCTTTTTGAGGTAGTTTTTGATATGACAGTCTTTTAAAACTGCATGGGAACTTGACAGACAGTAACAACCTGAATACAAGTTCAGAAACTAGTCTTGGAGATTAAGACTTTTGAAGTTCACCTAAGTCTGCAGGATATGTCCAACAGGCAGCCAGACATTCCAGCTTATCTGGAGCAGAAAAGATACACAAAGACTTGGGCTGAGGGTCTAGTGCCTTCTTAACATGTGTGAGGCCCTGGGTTTAGTGCCCAGTGCACACCCAAATGCACGCATGGTTGCCCAGAAAGACCAAATACAAACATGGAGAAAGTATGTTCACAAGCCATGTGACCAGTATTTGAATTAAATATATCTAAGAAGTGATATACCAGGTGAGGTCAGCTAACTTCTTTAACGCTACCTACTGTAAGATTGTTTTCTGAACATACCCAATAATAGAAAATATTACTTACAACTTAATTTTTTTTTTTTTTCAGTAGTTACAATGGTTGGAATAGAGATGCTTATTCCCTAAGAATCTGGGGTCTAGGGTAAGTAATTAAAATATATGTTATCATTATATAAAATGGATTCAAAGCTATTTACCTTCCGTCTGTAGTTAAATTTTCTGTAGTTTAAGTGTCTAGCATTTAAACTACTTATTAGAGGATTGTATTTACCAAGACAGAGGTAAAGTGTTACTACCTTAATACACTTGGAATCATTTTTAACGTGGTCTTGCAGTGTTGCATTTGATGTTTGCTTTGGTTTTGTATAATGAAAAGTTACCTTTATCTCTTGCTACAGATTTTTACCTCAAGTATCCACAGATTTGACACCTCAGACTTTCAGTGAAAAAGTTCTACACGGGAAAAACCACTGGGTGGTAGATTTCTATGCACCTTGGTGTGGACCTTGCCAAAATTTTGCTCCAGAGTTTGAGCTCTTGGCTAGGGTAAGTCCTACCTGTCTGCTCAAATATAAGCTGCAGTGATACATTTATTGTAATAATCAGATAAAATAGTGAATTTAATAATTCTTAATTTAGTCCTGAATTTTTAAAAACCATATTCCATTTGACTTTAACCTTTATAGATTCGCTTTTTAAATAAAAGTCCTAGCTAACATCTTTGTTGATGATATTATCGTCCGCCTAGCAATAAAAGTCAGAAGTATTCTTTTCCCTCCTGTTTCCTTTGCTCGTCATGAACGCTGTCTGCTGCCCTCGGCAGCCACTAGATCCTGCCGCTTCTGCTTCCGAATGCCTTTCGGATCTGTCTCCATCTCCGTGCCAGCCTTTCTTTCAAGCCCTCCTCACCTCTCACTTAGACCTCAACTGCCAGTCTTCGTGCTCAGGGCCGCCCTGGTGATCTTGCTAGATCTACTCATTAACATTTCTTCAGAGGTGCCCGCTGGCCTCAGGTCTCTGATTTGAGTCTCTGCCACTTCAGGCCATTCAGCTTCTTCTCTGTCCCTCACATTCTGGGCACAGGTTTTCTAAACACAAATCTCTATGTGTGTGCTGCTTCCTCTTTAAAATGCCGTCTTTAATCTGGCTATCTGGATTTTTTTCCTCATCTTGCAAAATACAGCTCCATGCCATTGCTTGGGTGACCTCTGCCCTTGTGGTGTAATCAGCGTCACCTTGCCAGCGTACACTCCCCCGTCACTGGGCTTGTACAGAGGTTTCGAGCTTAGGTTCCATGTCTTATCTGTCATTGTATCCCCACTGCCTAAGCGCCTGCTTTTAAAGCTGAACAGAGTACATTTACTCACTAACTGTTTGGTGTTCTACGGTCATGGGAGGCGTATTGATGATGCAGTCAGATGGATAGCTTCCTTGTTTGCCTAAGTCAGTCATCAACAGACACAGCACTGACAGGAGGGGAGAAGTCAGCGCCAGTTCCTCCAGTCCAGGCAGCTTAGCATCCCAACCACAGGAATGAATTTTAGCAGGGGGATTTTTTTTTTAAAACTCCTACAAGCAATAAATGATTATAGTTACTTAGTGGTCCTTCAGATAAGAAGTTACTCACTCCTGCTAAAATTTTTCTGTGCTTTCTTCCTGTCAGGTAATTCTGACAGTATGCTATGCCTTCCTATACTAAGAGCTAACGTAGCTACCAACTTCGTGATGCAAGTGCGTTTTAACTATAGCAGAAAATTACTGCATATGAGAAGAATCATTCATTGAGCAAATCCTACCCATCAAGCAAAGGCATTCTGCTAGGTGCTAGGGCTACAGAGATGAAAATAGTGAAATCTGCTTCCAAACATGACGCTTTTTAACTAGAGGAAAGGTGTAAGGCAAGTAAACGATGCCTTAGGATATTGCAGTAGGATAACTGCAATAATGAAATTACAACAAGGCCAGAACTTGAGCAAAAGAGTGGTCAGGAGTCACACTAGGGAGAGACAGAAGATTCCACAGAAAGTATTTGAGACAAGAATTGCAGCATGACTGCGAGTTTGGCACTTTCTGGAAGGGTTGGCTGGAGCACCCTCCCACAGAGAAGACAGTGTGGTCGACGAGGAGTGCTTGGCAGTTGTGGCAGTCACTTCCCAGTGTTCTTGCTGAGGAAGAAGAGTGTATTTGCTGTTTGAGAGGTGGCAGGGGAAGCTTAAAGGCCCAGAAAAGGCCTGGAAGCAATACTGATTGAATTAGAAGGTTCAAATCTGAGTTTCTAAAATAAATTCTTAAATATATAAAAATTTGAAATATTTTAGATCATACTGTGCTGTAGTTGTCAAAATAGTGTGTCAGAAAATGGCAAAACATTTTTTTCTCCCAGATGGTTAAAGGAAGAGTGAAAGCTGGGAAGGTAGACTGCCAGGCTTTTGGCCAGACCTGCCAGAAAGCCGGGGTCAGAGCCTACCCGACCGTGAAGCTTTACACCTACGACAGGGCGAAGGTGAGTGCGCGCTTTCCTCGGGCTCCTTACCGCGCGGGCCAGGCGCAGGAGGAGATTCGTTTGCACGCTGGTACTTTTTTTCTAGTTCCTTCTGCCGTTGTCATTTTTTGTATTACTGCACATTATTGAAACAAGCTTTTTAATTACATTCACACCAGGCGTGCGTAGAAAGGTTTTCTGTCTTGTGATTGATTGATGGACTCCTCAGTTGCCTTAAAATTTTTTTACTCATCAACATAAACTTGATAAGCTACTAGTAAGTGGTGACTACAAGGTAAATGTTTTCTATGAAGTTCTGTATTTTTTACTTTTTATAGAATAAATAGGTACTTCTTTTTAAGTTTTTCCTTGAAGAGAAAAAAGTTAATACTTTTACAATATTTTCAGCCTTAGTAACTGAGCACTTACCTTATTAGAGATTTAGATTACAACATAAAGTTAGGGTCCTTCGGTTCAATTACTGTTGCTTTTGGGAAATCCTAGCAATGTGCTTTTTCTCCAGTAAATAGTACAGCTCTACACCAAAGGGTCTCAACAAAATGGAGATGACGAGCCCTTTCTGTGGTCCGTGATACACAGACTGTGTCTTCTACCCAGTATAATGGCTAACTCGTGATGGTTGCTAACTTCCCAAGTGAAAAAACAAGACTTCGATAGAACTTTGATATTTGAATGTTTTCTGGTAAAACATTCAAAGTAAATAATTTCTAATGTGTTACACTTTTTGAGGAAGAACGTCAGGTGAAGATCTGATTATTTGTTGACAATTCTAACGTATTTTTAAATAGAGAAATTAGGCCTTGGTGTGGTAGTACACACCTGTAATCCCAGCACTCAGAAGGCTGAGGCACGAGAAACACCGAGAGTTTGAGGCCAGGCCAGGCCAGGCTATATAGTGAGTTTAAGGCCAGCCTGAACTACATAGTGAGACCCTGTCTGAAAAAAAAAACATTAAGTGACCAATTTCAGCAATCTAAGATTGTCACAGATCTAGGTTTCTCACTGAAGTTGTTGGATTTGCTAAGAAGTTACTCCTGTCTTAAGAACAGCCTGAGGCACAAACAGCACAGTACTGGCAGAGTGCCTGAATTGTCCCTCCTCTGGCTCAGGAGCTCTATCTTCCAGTTTTCGGAGCTGAGAAACAGGTGGCACTGGGGTCTTACTCAGGTCAGTGGATACTAGGCAAGTATCAGTATAATGAACGCAGAATTGACCAGGCCACAGAGGGAGCGGTTGGAGAAGAGGGTGTTCCTCTGTGTGCAGAACACAAAGGACAAGTTAGGAGCAGGCGTCCCTGTGCGTGAAGGTGGGTGATCCAGGAGTCCAGACCCTACAGGCCAAAAGCACAGCAAAGACTGGAGTAATTGCAAGTACAAAGCAAGCAGGCTGTGACACACCGTTAAAAAACAGTAATTGTAGCACATGCAGCTTGGGGCAGGCTTCACGCCGGAAGGAAACTGGCAGCTGGAGAGCCAGAACAAGCAGAGTGGGACACGGACCTGCCCCGTGTCTGGGCACCAAGGATGGGTCCTCCCAGCCTCCATTGCTGCAGCTGGGCAGGGTTCTGCCAGGGTACTGCCTCTTAGAGATCCCAGCCTGTGTGGGCAGCTTTGCGTATCCATTTCACATGTGCTCGAGGCTTTTGAAGTGGGTGCTGTTTTTCCCAGGAATTGTTTTACATTCCCATAGTGCGTTTATTTCAGGGATGGCTTAACTGTGCTTTTCCAGCATTTCCTTGAAGAAATTTGAATTTCAAACACTTCAAGTTTTGGAACAAAAGAACTTTAAAGCATATTTAGTCAGGTGGTTACATGGAAATGTCATCATTTACATGCTTAATCAAAACATGACAGGAGTGTTTTTAATTTTAGAGAAGTATTTGGGAAGAGCATGTAAGTGCTAGAGATGCAAAGACAATTGCTGCCTTCATTCAAGGAAAATTGGAAACACTCCAAAATCAAGAAAAGAGAAACAAGGTAAGAACAAAACTTAGAACTGACTGGCAGAGTTATAGAAATGTGTTTTTATTATGCATTACGTGTAGCGTGAGGCTCAGAAAATAGTCAGAATTTTCTACTTTGGGAAATAAAGACAATCAGAGTACAGCCTCTAAACACAGAAATGCTTACCGATACGTGCAAGTAAAACCATTTTACAAAAAACAGTGATGAGGTTCAGTACAGAAGCATCCACACAGATGTGCGCAGCGGCAGCATTCATGATACTAAGAAATGAAAATGCAGCTGTCCGTCCACTTCTGAACAAAACGTGGTGTACCCGTCTGGTACTATGGGGTGTTCTTCAGCCCCAGAAAGGAGTGCGGCGCCGCCCGTGCTACCGTGTTATAGGATGCTATTTGTGTGAAATGTTCAGGACAGACTCATCCATAAAGACAGGAGGTGGATTAGTGGTTGTCGGAGTGAGGTAGAAAAGAGCAGAAATTGGGGCGACCACTGATGTGTAAAAAATTTCTTTTTGCAGTGTGTAAAATGTTCTAAACTTAGATTTTTATGATAGTTGTACAACTCTAAATACATAAAAACTGCTTTCTTCTGCAGGAATTTTATGGTATGTAACATGTAAATTATAAAAAAATAGTCATTTATGGCCATTAAATTTCGTTCAAATGTAAAGAAAGCATTAAGTTATATACTAAATACAGTTCAGGTAACAGGTACTCCTTTTTTCTCAGTATAGTAGAAACTCATATTCATCTCCCTCCTTGGATTTTTAATCAGTTTAATTCTTACTATTCCTCAGAAACCCATTCAGTTGTTTCCTTTTTTAAATAAATCAGTGTCATTCTAGGACATACTGAGACCAGCAAGTCCGTGTACGAATGGGATTTAATGCAGGCATGGTGAAGTCTCTTGGCTTCTCACTGTGTAAGCCAGAAGCCTCTGGAGAGGGCTAAAGCAACGTGGTTTTATGGCAGCACGTTCGAATCCAAGCTGCTGTCACCCAGTTCAGAGCTCAGACCCCAGCAGAGGAAGTTGCTCAGTTTGCTTCCCATTTTATTCAAATCTTAAAAATAGGGAAGGGATAGTTATGAATGTGTGTTTTCCTGATTTACTGAGCAAACATGTTTTTTATTGTTTGGGCTGTATCTTTTCAAATTATTTGCAAGTTTGTGACTATTTCACGTTAAGTATTTGAAAAAAGCAATAGTCCTAAACCCAGAATATCATTAACTGAAATCACGTTAAGGAACATACTAGATACAACTGAGAAAGGATATACAACAGTACATCAGTTCACAGACTTAATTCTTTCCGCAGTTCTAGTTGCAAATTGAATCAAGTTCAGTAGTTAGGTATAATGGTTAGGGAACCATGTTTATATGGGGAAATTTCATTGGTTCTCATCCAATTTGGTTTGTAGCCAGAATTGTGTAACAAAGTAAGTTCATGAACCAAGGTACCCTTGTAAAACATATTTTTTGTTTCTGCTATGGGCAGTTAGAGACTGCAAGATTTCCTTTTCTTTTTCATGTTAGGCAGGTGTTTTATGTGATGATCTACTAAATACAAGAGCCATAAATGTTTCTGAAAAGGCAAAATGTTGATTAGCTTATATTGTACCATACTTTAAACATTGTAAACTGAACGTTTGAATACCTTTATATTACTAATACAGGATGAACTTTGATGATGTTGAAGATGAAGGAAAATTGAAAAGACTCTGAAAAATATCATCAGAAGATGGCTTTTAAGAATGTGAATTACATTCATGGTCGAAGTTAATGGACATTTTTTTGTACTGATAATAACTGCACTGCCTGAAGTCTATACAACATTGATACAATGAGAGGTCTGCGGACTTTTTTGGAAAAGGACAGGTCACAATATTTTAGGTTTTGTGGACTGTATTTGTTTCTTTGTCACTGCTTTATTGTTTTTAATGATGCTTTTTAAAAATATAAAAATCCATTTTTAGCTCAGGGCCATCCAAAAATAGAGTACAAGCCAAATTCAGTCCATAGGCCTCGATGCTGACTCCTGGAAATGTTTTGATGTCTGGCTCTACCATGAGCCTGTAACTTGATTATCAAAAGCACTCAGATATAGTCAAATAAATAAATGCCCTACTTTCATGCTGTTTTGTAGTGAAGAAATTCTCCATTTTGCTTTAAAAGTTGAGGGGTTATCTTTTGCAATTGAGAAATTTTTGTGCAGCTGTAAGTATAAATATCTTACAGACCGCCTTAGCCACCCAGAAAAGCCCGAGGGAGATAAGTTCCCAGTGAGCAAACGGGCCTTTGAATCACCACATAGTAGGTAGAGTTCTGTGTTTTCAAAGTGTGTGTGCATTTCGTTTCTGAAATTACTTTTCTTTTCCCACTGACAGTTCATATTTTTGAGGCATCTTCCTAATATTTACATACTTGCTGTCTGAGTTTTCTATTTATTTACATTGATTTTTCCATAGCTATGGTTTTCCACTCCAGTCTATTCATTATTCAAGTAGGAAAAACAATTGTATAGATTTGTTTTACTGTAGTTCATACTGATACTGTGGTTGTTCCATTCACTAACCTCATGTCAGAGGCTGCCTTTTTCAGATAAATGTTGGCATAACTGAAGTTATTTTTATAAGAAAATGAAGTATATCTATCTAAAATGGGGTCTTTTAGTTTCTGAGTGGTTTTGATTCAAAACATCACAAAATTTCTTTGCATTTCCACAAAACTGTGACTATAACCTCTAGCTGTTCAGTTATACTTCAGTGGATAGAATGCTAAAAATTTCAACTTACCAAGAGGTTAATGAATAAAAACACTTTGCATTTTCCAAACACTGGGAAGAGTTTGGAAGAGTTTTACTTGTTTTTATCACTTTACCCTGCTCCCGGCATTTCCTCCTACAGGTTACTGTATAGCTGGCCTGTGTACCAAGGGTAACAGCCGCATACATGGTCTTTCCCATCTTTTTCTTTATACCGACAACTCCCATGTCTCACATTCTGCTTCATACATGTGCAACAGTTTCCACTTTTAACACCAACTTTTTGAAATACTATTCATGATAAAAAGCCTTCCACTTATTAAACTTCTTAAAATCTATAAATTCTTAAAATGTGGTTGGAGTCTACACAAACCCCCAGGTGGATTGGCTCCAGAGGGCCTGGGAAACGTGCGCGAAGCTTACACTGCGGTTACCTGCAGGCCACGCAGCAAGTGCAGAGCCGTCTGAGCACGGGCCACGTCTCCTGAGTCTGACTCACAGTTCTGTCACAGAACCCCAGGATGAAATCACTACCTACACGCTCCGTTCCAACACGGAGAAGCATTTCAGGCAGTAAGTAATAAGTACTGGTTATGTGCCTGTGGAATCAGTTGTAAAGCTAAAAGAGAGTGCTATATTTTCTATGGACAGTGTATTTACAAAGGCATTAGTTGAATAAAATGCGTAACAGGAGAGCAGCATTTTTAAGTTAAATATTTTATCAATTTTTTTGTAACATTAGTTCATCCTTAATTTGCCCGCAAAACCAAATGTCTTAAATTGGGTACATTCATTACATCATGACTGTTAAGAATAATGCAAAAGTTAAACAAGATGAGTCTTAATTTTCTTAAATGAGATCTGTATAATAAAATTAACCCTGAAGATTAAATCTTTCTGTTAATATTCTACTTTATACATGTACTGAAAGTTTTTAAATACACCCCAGTTCTTCTAGTGAATGTCTGTTTTTAGTAAAAATGATAAAATTTAGGCCAAACCACAAAGCCTAAGTATAAAAATGTGGATTCACTGGCTTGAGTCATGTTTCTACTTACCACTGTTGTGTTCAGTTTCTCTTACTGTCATTCAGTCCCTTTGTGAATAGCAGGGTATTTTTGTGAGATAAAAGAATTATGACCTCTGGGTGTGGTGGCGCATGCCTATAACCCCAGCACTGAGGAGGCTGAGGCAGGAGGGTCATTCTAAATTTGAGGCCAGCCTGGGCTACAAAGTGAGCTCAAGGCCAGCCTGAACTGCATAGCAAGAGCCTGTCTCAAAAATGACAAAAAGAAAAAGAATTATGACCAAAGGCTAATGCCAGACTAACCCATGTCAGTACTAAATCCATGAATGCTGTGAACCACTTGATTCATTAGTTGTTTGCATACATTACCTAGAACCTGTGGTCCTGAAAATAATAACCCACAAAAAGGACCTTCTTAACCTCCACAGAAAATTGGTCAATTAACCACTAGTACAGAACTCTACCCTGAACAGCTGCTATTCTGAAGTCTTTGAGAGGCTTAAAATTTAAAAAGAAGAGTGGATAGCCAGGTATGATGGTGCAAGCGTGTAATCTCAGCCACCCAGAGCCTCAGGCAGGAGGGTCACAAATTTGAGCCTGGCCTTGGTAAGTTGGTGAGAGCCTATCTTAAAATTTTTTAAAAGGCCAGGGATGTACCTCACATGTGCAGAGCCCTGGCTTCAACCCCTAATGCCAAAGGGAGCATTAGTTTTGGAACAAATGAAATTAGAAACTTAAAAACTTAGAAAATTGAAATTATTCATAACTACATTACCAAATAGTAAAACAGTGAAATGTGGATCTGCAGCCGGTTCACCAGCAAAAAGCGTCACCCATGTGAGCGTGTTTCCAGTTATGAGGTAAGTCATAGGACACCAAGGCAAAGAACACACACTGCGTACACACCAGGAGCCACTGCTGATTGAAATTTGGTAATGAAACAGTCCGATGGCTGTAATGTATTCAGGAAAAATGCATAAAACATCTCTTTCTGGAGTTAGCAAGAAAATTACAAAAGCCATTTTCCACTGATTTTGAGTAAGTTTAGATTCAACCTTTCAAGTTTCAAACTCAGCTTTCTTTAATTCTGTCTCTTAAATAACATTTAATTCCCGCTTTATTACAGAAGTGAGAAAATTTTTAATTACATTTGTAAAGGTATTGTGTTACCTAGTCACACTCGTAAGAACAATATATCATTTGGTTTACTACAGAAACGAAAGCCATTACTTGAAAATTAACTAGTGTGATGGTTTTATACCTTAGCAGTTCATTTCTCCTACTAATAGTCACCAAAGAACTCAACTCAATACCAGTGTATCAAAAAACGTATAGTCTGTTGGTCATGGCGAAGCTTTTAGAGCTTTTCATGACAGCCTACTGCAGCACGCCTGCCATAGGGTTGTCACTGCTGTCCAAGGCATCACCTTAGGACTTGGGAAGTTAGATCTGTATCAACTGCAGCGCAAAAGGAAAAACCTATTGTGCTACAGAAATTAAATACATTTTAGAATTCACTTTGGTGAGATGTATAAGTAAACTTTAAAAAATCTAATTAAGAAATCCCCACAAACCTGTTCATAGTCATCTTTGAGGAAGGAAACCATGTCCTTGCTCTCTGCTGTATTCAAAACGTACCACATGGTTTTACCCACAGTTGTAAAGTATATTTTAGTTACCAGAAGAACTTTTAATTTGCCAGTAACTTACTTATGATGAGAAATTTTGAATAGCAATAATTTCATTATTTTATATCTTAAAAATTATAACTCCTATCAAAATACCAGTGATTTTCTCCACCAAGATACAGGACTACACAAGAAAAATCAAAATAATCCCCAGCCAAAAAGATTTTTTAAAAAAATGTCTCAGTTACATTTCTTCTTACTGAGATAAGGTACCCAGCACCCAAAGTTAAAGAGGGAAGTGTTTCTTCAGCTCACAGTTTGTAGAGGTTTCAGTCCATAATCGGCTGGCTCCCAGTCAGGGTAGCTTAACAGAGGGGCATCACAGAAAATACTTCATGGTGTCCACAGGGGAACAGAAGCAACAAGCGTCCTTCACAGTGTCTTTCTGCCCCTTTTGTCTTACCCAGATTACTTAGGGTAGGTGGTACTCAACCCTTAATCCTAGTGCCCTTGAACCTAGCATTGCACCATGAATCAATCCCAGCGTCTCACACACCCTAGATCCAGCCACCTCTAAAGAAGCCCTACCTATGACTGCATGAGGCTTTGATGGGAGAGTCATCTAAACAAGCCATAACAATTCCAATAGTGACTTGAAAACAGCACAAAGCTGTACTAACAAACACAGCCGGATACTGGCATAAAAACTGACACAAAGACCAATGGAACACAATAGAGACTCGGGTAGATACAGCTGGCTGATTTTTGAGAAAGGCACCAAAAACAAGGAAAGGATGGTCTCCTCAATAAATGATGCTGACAATGGACTAGACATATAAAGAGTGAAACTAGATCCCTTCCTCACTGTATACAGAACACAAAACGGTAAAGATCTCACTTTACCTAAATAAGAAACTGCTAGAGGAAAACAGGAAGCCTGTAAAGGTACTGGTTACGGCAGTGACTTTTTAAGGATAGGCACAGGCAACAAAAGCAAAAATAGTCAGATGGGATGCTATCAAGTTAAGAACCTTATGTAGGCAAAGAAAGAAACAACCTACAGAATGGGGAAAGCATTTGCAAACTATTCAAGTGACTCACAGCCAGGATATGTAAGGAGCTCACGAAACTGAACATCAAAAGAATAAATAATCCAATTTAAAAATGAGTTAAAGATGTATATTGACACTTTTCAAAAGAAGATATACAGGTGGGCAACAGTGTGAAAAGAGGCTCAGTCTGACTAACCCTCAGGGAACTGCAAACCAAAGCCCCAGGAGACCACTCTACCCAGTTAGGACGGCTGTCATCACAAAAATAAAAGCTGCTGAGAAGAACTTTTGCACACACAGTGCAAGTATAAATTAGTACAGCCGCTATGGATAAGAGTAAAGGCGTTGCTCAAAAGCCTAAAGACAGAATTTACTGTATGGTACAGCATTTCTGTTACTAGGTCTGCTTCCAAAGGAGATGAAGTCGTTATGCCAAAAGATACTTGTGCGCCGTGTTCACCGCAGCACCATTCACAATAGCAAAAGTAGGCATTGACCCAGGTGCCCGTCCGTGGCTGCACGGTAAAGGAAATGTGGCGCGTATACTCAGTGTAGTAGTACTCAGCCACAGGGAAAAGAGAATGAATGCCTGTCATGTGCAGTAAGTGCATGGAACTGGAACGTATTAAGTGAAATAAATCAGACATAGACAAAGACAAATGTTCTCACTTCCCAAAACCATGGGACAGTAATCACTGGAGACGACGAAAGCCAAGGAAGGGAGGAGGGGTGGAAGGATGTTAGTAAGGGGTACCAAGAGACAAGAGAGGAATTACTTCCTTCTTTAGCACAGTAGGGTGACAAATGACCTACAATACGAGAAATCAAAATGTACAGTAAATTTTTAAACATTTTATTGCAATAAAAGACATCACCATCTGTACCCTTTAAAATACTCCATCTTACTTCAAACACTGGAATCTCATCATTCTTGCCACTTTCTGAAGCAGTTCTGAGAGTTTTCTTTTGTCTTTATAAAGTGATAAAAAATTAAAAGTGAAAACTGTGGCCGTGTGCCATCCCAGCAGACAGGCAAGCTAAACAAACACGATAGTGTGTCCTCATCCACAGGGCAGGCGCTGTGCAACTTCTAGCTCTTCCTCCAAGCCAAACATTCAGATTGACTCAGGGCCTCAAGGCAGCTACGGCCGCACAACCAAAGACACAAACATCCAGAACTGTTTCAGAAAGTGGCAAGAACAAGATACGTGTGTTCAGATTAAGCGGAAGTATTTTGATGGGAGTTAATGGCAATGTGCCCAGTGTTTTTTAAGTTTAAACATTTGCTTTATTTTTGCTTGAACTCTATATGTTTCAGACTAGAAGAACACAAAATTTCAACATAAAAATGATTAATGTTTGAAGAGATCAAAATGCTTATTAACCTTTGATTATTACCCTTTATATCAACTTACGGAGCATAACCCCATGAAGATGCTCAAATATTATGTCTCAGTAAAACACTACTTAGCACTAAGGATGATAAGTTCAATTAACAGCCTTTACAAAGCTTACAGGTACTGTAACGGATATTGACTTTTTAAAATAAAATTTTTGTTGTAAAATTTAAGGTAGCTCTGCCTATCAATGTCGCACCTAATCATTGGAAAGAAACTTGAGTTTTTATGACTTCATACCATTTGGTTTTTTTCTCTATAGCAGTCCCTCTGGCAGGTATCCTTGAGGGTTGGTTAGAAATGTCAGGCACCAGTAGGTGGCAGTGAATAATAAGCAGAGACATCTCATTATTCCTAAAAAAAAAAAAAAAAAAGCCGTTGCAGCACTAAGCACACAGCCTAGTTTGCTTTTGTTTTTGTCACTGAAAGTCTTGAGCATCAGTCACTGACTATGTGAAATTGCAAAGAAACTAAGACCATGTTACACCCAAAGTTATGTAATAAAACAAAGAAGTGCTTGAATGTGTGACTAGCATGAAAGAATAAATCTAAGAGCAGCCTCCAGGCATCTGTACTACTGTAGATGCAGTGAGATGCACACATATAGCGGGGCTCAGCATGTCTCGCTCTGAAGAAGGCTGCAAGCATCCCTCGGCTCACATGGGTCGCTCTCGAGAAATTATAAAGCTTTCATAAAATTGTGCTGATAATTGCCTGGTTTTTCATTATTCACACTTCTCCAAATTTTCTGGTGATTTTAGCCCTGGTTTAAAGTAGGAGATAAAAGTCCCTCCCTGTCTCCAAGTA